GGCCCAGGGGATTTGCCTAGAAGGTCAGCTGTGTGCAAAGGGTGAGTCTATAGTGTGTGTGTGTGTGTGTGTGTGTGTGTGTGTGTGTGTAAGGGGTTTGTCTCCCACTGAAATAGGGCCAAGCATACAGTCTAAGGATTTAGGACATGAGTACTGTTGGGAGAATGGGGCAAAGAGCACTCTTACTGGAGGCAGGGGGATGGATGAAATGATCTCTCAGAGGTCACTGGCCTCTCTAATGGTCTACCCTTGGAGGCAACACTCCTGAGCAGAGAGCCCCACATGAGGACCGTCCTTCCCTGCCTCTCTCCCGAATCACCAGAAGCTCCTTTGTGTTCAGTTCACAGACAACGGCCAGATCATTTTCCCTGAGTCCGACTACCAGGTGTTCTCCTACCCCAACCCACCCAGGAGAGGCCTCAGCAGCTGGGACCCTGTGGCGCTGGTGGCTCCGTTTTGGGACGATGCTGATTTCTCCACTCATCAAGGAACCATCTATTATCAGGTAAGCCTGCCACCTGGGATCTCCTTCTGGCCAGCAAGGAGACAAAAAGGTTGTGCCAGGTGTTACTGGTACCAAAGTCTGGGCCAGGGTGGGCAGGGATTGCCTACTTAAGTGTGCCCTCCGGGGTGAGCTGGAGATGACGTTGTAAGGCGGGGTGAGGAAATTGGGTAAGGAATAGTCATTTGTCAGACACAAAGGAAAATCCCTCATATAGCACGAGAAAACCTACAGGCGACAGGGGTGGGTTGGCCATTCGATATTTGATTTAGAAATAGGTTGTAGGGAGGAGAAACTACCAAAGCAGTGTCCAGTCAGACCACCAGCTGTGTTCCTGGGATGGGTCAGTAATCCCAGTCACTGGAAGCGCTCATGGACCTACTGCCTGCAAATGCGTATTGCCCGCCTGCGTTGGAGAGGGTCCCTGTGTTGGAGAGGGTCCAGAGGTGGGGAAACATAGAAGCCTCCAGAGCAGTGGTTCTCAACCTTCCTCAGGCCACGACCCTTTCATACAGTTCCTCATGTGTGCTGACCCCAACCATAACATTATTGTTGTTGCTATTTCATCACTGTCATTTTGCTACTGTTATGAATCATCATGTACATATCTGATATGCAGGACGTATTTTCATTATTATAAATTGAACATAACTAAAGCATAGTGAGTCACCACAAAAACAATATGTCATTATATATTGTGAACTATGTATTTCTAATGACCAATAAATGGCATTTTGTCTTGAAGCACGGTGTAGCATGGGTAACAGTCTTCACGCAGGGTACTCGTAGGTGGGCGTATCTGCATGTGGGCGGTGTCTCGGTTCCTAAGATCATCGGGAAGATGTGCTTTCCGATGGTCTTAGGCGACTCCTGTGAAAGGGTCGCTAGACCCCCAAAGGTGTCGAGACCCACAGGTTGAAAAATTCGGCTCCAGCAGGACCCAGGCGATAAGGTGCACGCACATGGCTTACAGTATCAGCACAGCTTGTATTCTGGGGCACATCAGGGGGCCATCAGAGATGCTTACTGTGCAAACACAAGCCTGAGAGGGGGTCAAAGGGGCCACATGCGCAGACACAGGTGAGCAAGAGGACCATTGTAGGGAGTATGTGCCGCAGGGAGAAAAGCGGGGCTACTGGGGGTGTTCAGGTGGGGGCCCCATTCTCTTGTCCTTTCTCTCCTAGGAATATAAGACGTTCTACGATGAATACAACCCGTTAGTCCGACGGGTGGAGTCTTGGATTGCAAAGTTCACAAACACCTGGAACTACAAAGCCAGGTGGACCCTAAAGGTCACCTGGGCCGATGTCCTTGCCTATCCTGCCCGCTGGACCTTCGGGGTGAGTAGACAGAGGTGCAGCCCCTGGGCACCCTCAGCAGGACAGATACCTGAGCATCCCAGGCAGGAGTTCAGTCTTCGAAACTGCTCTCTGACTTCAGCACTTGTTGAGTGCAGCGACCTCCACCATGCTGAGCACTTGCTGGGTGCCGGGTGCTGGGCCCGCCTCAGCCCCACTTCCATGGGGCTCAGTGGAGGAGCTATGAAGGGCAGGTGAGAAAATGGCCTGGAGGCCACATCGAACCTCTTCTGGCTCCACATCTGCCTAAGAATGATTCCCATGAGGCAGAGGTCAGCCCTTCCTTCACCCTCCACTTCCCTTACTAGAGCACCTTGAAACCACTGCCCCTCCCACAGCACTCTGCTTCTCTGCTGGGTTCGATAACCCATTGCAATGACCATACAGAACTCACAGGCAAAACTGACAACTAGGGAGTTTAAGAGGGAGGCCAACAAGTTGCAAAATGCTAAGGATGCAGGTCTTTGGTTTGCAGTTGCCTCTTCTCAGCCGTGCTGGCAGGCATGTTGCTCTCTGGTCCTCAGTCTCTCAGCCCTGTGGTCCTATGGCCTCCGTCCTGCTGCAAGCTCCTTTAGCATTGACAAGTGCCCCCAGGCATCCCACTCTGCCAGCCAGCCTTCTGCCCACAGGCATTCAGCTTTACTCCTTCTGTGGGCTGGGAAGCCTGCCACGCTGGCTGGCTCGTGATCTTGGCCTGGGCTCTGTTCTTGGGCCACCTCTCCACACAGGAGATGCTTCACTCCTGGTTCTCCTTCCTTGGTGGTCGTTGGATCCTCTGCTTCTGCTTCTGCAATGGCTCATTTTATACCCAGTGGAATGGCAAAGCCGACCAATCCCCTCCTGTGGAGTTTCACACACTCTATTTGCTGCACGGCCCTACTCAATCATTTGGAAGGAATGACAAATACCGTGGTGAGTTAGAAAACCAAAAAGGTAAAACAACTCAACATATCTTAACAACAGAGAGAACTAAGGAAAAATTCAAGTCACGGGTTGCAATGTTGATCGATTCCATGGGCAAAATATTGAATGGTGCCAGAAAAATCAAAAGACTACACAGAGTCAGTGTACCAAAAAGAACGTGTTGACGTTCAACCATTTCAAAAGGTAGCATGTGATCAAAAACGAGGGAAAACTTCAGAAACAAGTCTAAACGACACTGGAGGCAAAGCCCCAGGAATTGATGTGATATCGACTGAGATGTTTTGACAAGCTGATGGTGCACTGGAAGGACTCACGTGTTTCTGCCAAGAAAGACGGCAACCTAGTCAACTGACTGGAAGAGATTCCTTTTTGTACTCACTCCAAAGAAAAGTGACCCAACAGAATGCTCCAATTATAGAACAATATAAATGCTATCACATGCAAGCAAAAATTTCCTGAAGGTCATCCAGCAAGAGTTGCAGTAGTACATTGACAGGAAGCTTCCAGAAATTCAACCTAGATTCAGACGAAGACATGGAACAAGTGATATCACTGCTGACATCCTATGGATCTTGGCTGAAAGCGGAGACTATCAAAAAGATATTTACTTGTATTTATTGACTATGAAAAGCACTTAACTGCTTGGATCTTAACAACTATGGATACTCAAGAAGAATAGGAATTCCAGAACTCTAAATTATATTCATATAGAACCTGTATGTGAACCAAGAGGTTACTGTAGTAACGGGAATATGAATGATTTAAAATCAGGAAAACTGTGAGTCAGGGTTGTATCCTCTTACCATATTTATTTAATCTGTATGCTGAGCAAATAATCTGAGAAGATGGATGAATAAAGAAGGATTAGAGAGAGGTTTATTAACAGCCTTTGACATACAGATGGCACAACCTTGCTTGCTGAAAGTGAGGAGGACTGGAAGCACTTGCTGATGAAGATCAGGGATTACAGCCTTCAGTATGGACGACAACTCAATGCAAAGAAGACCAAAACCCTCACAACCGGACCGGTAGGTAACATCATGCTAAATGGAGAAGATGTTGAAGTTGTCGAGGAGTTTGCCTTGCTTGGATCCACAATCAATGCTGATAGAGATCAAACCATGCACTGCATTGGGTAAATCTGCTGCACAAGACTTCTTTTAAATGTCGAAAGCCAGGCTATTACTTTGAGGACTAAGGTGGACCTGACTCAAGTCATGATATTTTCAATCAGGTCATATGCATGTGAAAGTTGGACATTGAGTAAGGAAAGTCAAAGAAGCATCAACTCATTTGGATTATGGTGCTGGTGAAGAATATTAAAAATACCATGAGCTGGCAAAAGAACCAACAGACCTGTTCTGGAAAAAGTACAGCCAGAAAGCTTCTTAGAATCAAGGATGGCAAGACATGGTCTCATGTACTTTGTACATGTCGTCAAGAGAGACCAGTCCTGGAAAAGGACATCATGCTTGGTAAAGCAGACGGGCAGTGAGAAAGCGAAATGCCCTCGATGGCATGGATGGACACCGTGGCTGCAATGATGGGCTCAAACATACAATATCCGGGAGGGTGGCACAGCACCCGGCAGTGGTTCATTCTGCCACACAGTCACTGTGAGCGGGAGCCATCTCGACAGCACCCAACAATAGCCAGGGAGACACAAGCCACACTCAATGATTGCGCTTCGCTGCAAGTGGAAACAGAAAGTGGAATTAGGGGAGGTAAAAAATGACTGCCCCTTGTAGCTTCCTATGGTTCGACCTGGTATTACTATCTGGGTTGCAGTTTTAGAGATGAGGTAGATAGCTGTTAGAGGGGTTACATCACTTGCTGGAGGTCATACAGCTAGTAAATGGAAAAGCCTGGCCTGAAATCAAAGTTTTTCTAGCCCTAAGCTCTTACCCACAGTCCCCCACAATGGAAGTGAGGCTCACCGCATGGTCTCCTTAGTCTTTCCTATGAGGACTCACCAATCTTCCTCTCACAAGTCTGGTCGAAAGTTACTTGCTTCTTCATTCAACAAAAGAAGAAGAAGGAAAAACTATATTTATAGGAGCATATATAGAGATGTAAATATTTAAATATATAAATTTAGGTGTATTTGTTTATTGACACACACACACATATATATATACAACAAGGAAGCAGATGGACTTTGGGCCTCTACTTAAATCTTACCTCAGTACAAGAATGGTCTGTTCTAACAATGCAGTGTTGTAGGATACCCACCCTCCTTACACGATCCCTGAAGACAAAATGGGTGCATAAGCAAATATGGTGAAGAAAGCTGATGGTGCCCGGCTATTAAAAGATATAGCATCTGGGGCCTTAAAGGCTTGTAGTTAACTAAGCAGCCCTCTAGCAGGGAAGCAGCAAAGCCCATATAGAAGAAGCACACCAGCCTGTGTGATCATGAGGTGTCAACGGGAATAGGTCTCAGAAGGTCAAAAATAAGCAACCAAATCAACGTGAAGAAGCACAGGTGCAGTGGAGACCCCAAGCCCACCTGCACGCTGACTGGACAGCCCCTCAGGAGAGCCAGAGGGAAGGGATGATAGTTCCAGGGTGTGGTATAGCACTGCTGAAACACATGACTAGCCTCTAGTTCTTTAATATTTCCTCCCCTGACTATTATGGTTTCAGTTCTACCTCATTAACCTTGTTAAACTTGCATATGTTCATTGGTAAACTTAAGATCTTTAATGCATGAAAGCCAACACAGATAGCCCCTCAGAAAAAATAACGGGAGTAACGGTTTCCTAAAGGTATGGGAAGAGGGTGGGGGGAAAGGGGAAAGGGGTGCTGATAGCAATGATGACTGTATAACCCCACTGAACAGGAGCAAACGACAGAATTGTAGGTGAATGGATATATTGGCTAGTGAAAAATACACACACATATGTGTATATATACGTATATATATATACTCATGTGTGTATATATATACACACATATATACCTATATACTCGAGTATAAGCTAACCTGACTATCAGCCAAGGCACCTAATTTTACCACAAACACTGCATAAAAGCTGTGCTGAAACACTTGGCTTATGCACAAGCATATATGGTAATGAAATGATAAGTGTTCTTCCATGGAGAGGGGATAAAGAGGAGCTGATATCCAGGAGGCCAAGAAGAAGGAGAATGTTTTGGAAGCGATTGTGGTAACAAGTGTACAATACTGCTTGATGAGACTGAGCTATGGAATGTTACGCCATCTGTAAGAGCTCTCAATAAAACGATGATAATAAAAATTGTGGATAACCCACTTTGTACAATGCACCCTGATTGGCACCCAGTCAGGGCCTGCCTTCAGAGAACCTCCCATCTCACCTGCCTTATGTCCTCCATGCCATTCAGGTCAAGAGGACATTGGGATTTTGTCTTTTAAATATCTCTAAGAAAACGACCTGAAACTCTTAGCTCTCTGATGTTTTTGTTCATCTCTCAGATTCCTATAGCGTTCGCTCACAAACCCTCTTTTAACTCATTTGAAACCCTTTGTCTATTCTCCTGGGAAATAAATCACAAAGAAGGCAAGTCCACCCACTTAGGTACTTTGATGCTCAGGGGACAAGCTGGCCTAAAAATCCCACACTTGCTCTGGGGAGGCCTGGGACAGGTGATGTGTGTATTGGGGCTGTGGTGTGATAGGGCATCTGGGCAGTGACCCCAGATCTCTCACAAGTATCCTTGTATTTGTCTCCAACCAACCTCTAGACCAACACCTACCAGGCCATCCTCTCCACAGACGGGAGCAAGTCCTATGCCCTGTTTCTCTATCAAAGTGGCGGCATGCAGTGGGACGCCGCCCAGCGCCGAGGCAACTCGGTCATCATGGGCTTCTCCAGGTAGGATGGGAGGGGATGTTAGCACTGGTCAAATTGGATGAATCCCTCTGTATACAGCAAGGTACACACACACACACACACACACACACACACACACACACACCCCTCTTAGGGTGAGGCATGAATCCTCCTTGGTGTTTTTAACACACTGGGGCCACACATAGCACTATTTCAAATTAAAACCAAGAACAACCGGTTGCCTTTGAATTGACCTCAACGCCCAAGGACCTCACATGGGTCAGAGCAGTGCCGGGCTCCTTACATTTCATGGCCCTTTCTTTTTAAATATATATTTTTGGCTGCTAGATGGCAAGGCCTTTTTCTGAGGTATTGCGGGGCGGGGCTGGGCGGGGGTGGGGGTGGGGGAGTGGGTGGGCCTTGAACCTCCAGCCTTTCGGTTAATCGCTGAGTGCATTAACTGTTTGCAGCACCCAGGGATTCAATTTCAAATAAAAAGACTTCTCTTTGCCCCGTCCTCCTCTTTACTATCCCAACCAACCATGAACGCCCCATCCAGTGACAGTGACAAGCAACAAGACTGTCGTCCAACCTCACCAGCCCTGTCATCTAAGAGAACCAGTCCCTGGGCACAGTAGTCGTTCCCTGCTTGGACTTCCCTGATTTCCCCCTACATTAGCTGACCTCTCTTGACTTCTCAAATAGTATAGTAAGAACACCACATCCCTACACCAAACCCAGAGCCACCAGGTCATTTCCAACTCATAGTGACCCTATGGAAACCCAACAACAGTGACAACTCACTGCCTCAAGCCAATGCCAACTCACAGTGACTCTGGAGGACAGGATAGAACTGCCCCTGTGGTTTCTGAGACTGTAACTCTTTACAGGAGTAGAAAACCCCATCTTTCGGACATGGGAGAGGAGGAGGTGGGGGAAAGGAAGTGGGTGTTAACAAACCCAGGGACAAGGAAACAACAAGTGATCCAAAATCAGTGGTGAGGAGGGTGTAAGAGGCCTGGTAGGGCTTGATCAAAGGCAATGTAACTGAGAGGAATTACTGAAACCCAAATGAAGGCTGAGCATGAGAGTGGGGCCAGAGGAAAGTAAAAGGAAATAGAGGAAAGAACTAGGAGGCAAAGGGCATTTATAGAAGTCTAAATACAGAAATGTATATATGTAAATATGTTTATATATGATGGTGGGGAAATAGATCTACATGCATATATTTATAGGTTTAATATTAAGGTAGCATATGGACATTGAGCCTCCATTCAAGTACTTCCCCAATACAAGAACACTGTGTTCTATCAAACTGGCATTCCATGATGTTCACCTTACCTACCGACACAATCGCTGAAGACAAAGCGGGTGAATAGGCAAATGTGGTGAAGAAAGCTGATGGTGCCCGACTATCAAAAGATACAGCATTTGGGGTCTTAAAGGCTTGTAGATAAATAAGCGACCATCTAGCCGAGAAGCAACAAAGCCCAGATGGAAGAAGCACACCAGCCTGTGTGATCACAAGGTGTCGAAGGGATCAGGTATCAGGCATCAAAGAACAAAAAAATCATATCATTGTGAATGAGGAGGAGTGCAGAGTGGGGACCCAAAGCCCATCTGTAGGCAACTGGACACATCCCCTTACAGAAGGGTCACGGGGAGGAGAGGAGCCAGTCACGGTGCAGTGTAGCAACGATGAAACATACAACTTTCCTCTAGTTCTTTAATGCTCCCCTCCCCACCCCGCCCACTATCATGATCCCAATTCTACCTTACAAATCTGCTGGATGGGAGGATGTACACTGGTACAGATAGAAACTGGAAACACAGGGAATCCAGGACAGATGAATCCTTCAGGACAAGTGGTAAAAGTGGCGATACCAGGAGGGTGGAGGCAGGTTTGGGTAGAAAGGGGGAACCAATGACAAGGATCTACATATAACCTCCTCCCTGGGGGAATGAATAACATAAAAGTGGGTGGAGGGAGACGTCGGACAGTGTAAGCATGACAAAATAATAATAACTTATAAATTACCAAGGGTCCATGAGGAGGTGGGGTGGAGAGGGAGGGGAAAACTGAGGCGCTGATACCAAGGGCTCAATCAGAAAGCAAATATTTTAAGAATGATGATGGAAACAAACGTACAAACGTGCTTGACAAATGGATGGATGTATGGATTGTGATAAAAGTTGTACAAGCCCCCAATAAAATGATTTTTTTTTAAAAAAGAAAGAAAACCCCATCTTTCTTCCACAGAGCAGGCTGGTGGTTTCGAATTGCCGACCTTCCAGATTGCAGCCCAATGCTTAACCACTGTGCCACCAGGGCTCCTACCGTGACCCGATAGGACAGCGCCCATGGGGGTTCCAAGGGTATGACCATTATGAGAGGCGATGGCTCATCTTTCTCCCATGGCCACTGGTGAATTCAAATCACTGGCCTTTCTAGTTAGCTGCTGAGTGTTTAATCGTCGTATTACTCCAACCTAACTCCACGCCAACTCACAGCGACCCTCTGAGGCAGGGCAGAACTGCCCCCGTGGGCTCCCAGGACTGCAAAACTTTATGGGAGTAGGAAGCCCCATCTTTCTCCCTTGGAGCGGCTGGAGAGTTTGAATTGCTGAGCTCAGCAGTTAGCAACCCGACTCATAACCACTATGCCATCAGGGCTCCTTTTGATAAAGATGACCAGCAGTTAGTGCTCTAGGTAGGTTATAAGCATTGTTTTGTTTGACTATTGTAAAGCCCCATGAGGTAGATACAATTTATCATCACAGTTTCACACTGAGGTACAGATGGATAAATAATTCATTCAGTCACAGAACTGGAAAGGGACTACGTGAAGATTTGAACCCAGACATCTGACGCTGAGATCGCCTCCCTAACTATCAAATTCAGTCTAAGGATGAACCCATATTCGTCAAGTGCCATCATCCAGCAGCTCCTTTGGGTGAGGCTGAAGCGGAAGAACAGGAGGACAGAGTTGTGGCTGGCCGAGAGGTTGGCTTTCCATGAGTAGAAAGAGTTCTGAGACGACAGCTTCATGTCTCCAGCTGCTGGTGGGTGCCACCACTGTGAGTCTTGGGTCACTATGGCTGGCAGCGACTGCAGATGGCTTCCTTCTATCCGAGTGTTCCAGATTGCTGCTACCATTAAACCGCTTGCAGTTGCTTTGGGCTGTGCTCTGGAGAAGAAAGGAGTGGAATTATTCCATCAGCTGGGACCTCACAGTATCCCCAGTCCTCTGGGGTGGTGTCATGGGTGTGTGTTGGGTTAGAGTGGGCCGCGCGGCTGCTCTGAGGCCACCCCCAGGCTGAAGCTGAACACTGCTGCCCCACAGTTTCTTCCTTCCCAGGGCCTCATTTGTGCACCACGACCGAGGGTGGCGACGGGAGTGGTAGAGGAGGCAGCTCCCATGTATGTGGTTTGCACTCTGTTCTGAGGGGGTTTGTCAATGTTCCTGCATCTCCTCTTCAGGATACTGTGAGGTGGATGCTACTATAATCCCTTCTATGCAGATGATACAAGTAAGATTCAGAAAGCTTCAGTAGCTTGCTTGCCCTTGGTAACCAATCTGGTAGAATCAGGAGGTGAATCTCTGACTATCTCACTCCCTCTTCGCTGTCATAATATGACGGTTTCCCGCAGCGCCGGCCCTCCCCACCACAGGTGTCAAAGTAGAACTGTGATTTCCAGGGTTTTCAGTGGTGGCTTTTTTTCCTTCTGAGATGCCTTTAACTGGATTCAAACCTTCAACCTTTCTGTCAGCAGCCAAACACATTAATCATTTGCTCCACCCACGGCCACTCGTCAATCCCTAGTTTAAGAGAAAACAATGAAGAAGGCTGAACTCTTTGTTGTTTTCACACTCACCTCCTGACTAAAGGAACCCTGGTGGCCTAGTGGGTTATGCACTGGGCTGCTAATCACCAGGTCAGCAGTTCGAAACCACCGGTTGCTCTGAAGGAGACAGATGAGGCTTTCTACCCCTTAAAACTTTACAGTCTCAGAAGCCCGTGAGGGCTGTTGGCATCTGTACGACAGTGTCACTGTAATTTAGGATCCACTTAATGGCAATGAGCCCGAGTCTCATGACTGAGTGAAACTGCCTGGTTCCTGCAGGTAGGAACCAGACGTGGATCGAGGGAGACCCACACTATGCCTGCCTCGTCCGCCTCTTCGAATTGCTGGAGTCAGTAATTCTGTTTGGCCGATCATCCAACTGACTGACCAACCGGCTGGGTGGTTGACTGGCAAACAGACTGACGGACTAACTGAATAGTTGGCTCATCAGCTGATGACCCATGATGAGCAGGACAAAGCGAAGGAGCGATGGAAGGGAAGGAGGGACGAAGGGAAAGGGAGCAAAGGAAGGAAGGACATATTGGTTGAAAGAATTGATTCCTTGATTGTAACAGAAGCCTGTGATGCTTGTCGTTGCCTGCAGCGGAGATGGGTATTTCCAAAACAGCCCCCTGACATTCCGGCCAGTGTGGGAGAAGTATCGCCCAGACCAACTCCTGGACTTCAACTCAGGTAGAAGCGCCCCGTTCTCTTGTGCCTTCTACTCACTAGGCGCTGGCAGCCTGGAGGGGAGCTCTCTAGCATCTCCACCTTTTCTAAGGATCTGACCAACGCAGCCCAACCTCCCATCGGTGACATGGGAACTTTTTGTCTTTGATGTATGGATTTCTGTGTAGGGACGTCAGGATGGTGGTCTATGGAGATAGCCCCTGGATTAGTACTTACCTGGGAGCACAGAAGGGGATGTTGTGGGGCTTGGGATGAGTCAGCAGCCATGAGTTCAAGAAGGAAGAAAATGTTCCAAAGTTGATTGTGGTGATGATTGCACAGCCCTTCTTCATATGACTGAACTTGTATTGTACCATATGTTCATTATAGCCCAATAGAACTGTTTAGAAACAAGCAGCCCTCTAAGTGAGACACCAACTAAGTCCACATGGAGAAGCACACCAGTCTAGGTGATCCAAGGACTGTAAGTAGCAAAATCCAAATCCAGAGGAGGGATTGGTATCAGAGCTTAAATTCTGAACACCTGGTTTGCAGAAAGCTATGGATGACAGGGAAAGCTCAAAATCCAATTGCAGAATCTTCGTATGTATCAAGCCTCTGGTGAATCCCCTCTGACCATAATGCAGGGATGTGAGCAGCCTTGCTAGCAGAGCATTGTAAAGTCGATTGTGGTAGACATTGTTAGGCTAAAACGTAACACCTGCTCATTTGACCTCCACTTTGATCCATTTTAAAGTTGTTTCCATTTTTAATATTTTCTATTGAGGATTTTCTCTTTTACCTTGTCATTGTTATTGGGTTTTTTTGTTTGTATCTTGTTTTTGTTTTGTATGATTTTCTGTATATGAAATCTAGGGTAGATAAATCTACAGAGACCTTAACAGGATTAGTAATCATCTAGGGGCAGGGCAGGGGAGGTTGGAAGGAAATGAGGAACTAACAAAACAGGTACAAGAGAGAAGAAAATGTTCTAAATTTAATTGCGATAATAATTGCACATTTTTTCTTAAAATGACTGAACTATTAAATTGTATGCTATATGTATTATGTATATGTGACCTAGGGATAGAGTCGTGATGGTGTGTGTGCGTGCACATGCATGCACACTTGTTGAGAGAGTTCTTGATGTGTTCCCCCTGACACCAACCAGGTCATTGCAGAGAAGATAAACAGATAATAGAAACAATTATTATTATTCTCAAAATCTTAACAATGTATGCGCTTGTATAGGTATACCAAGTTCAAACCACACTCGCTGCCACTGAGTTGATGCTGACTGTGCAGGACAGGGTGGAGCTGCCCCTCTGAGTTTCTGACACTGTAACTCTTTGCCGGAGTAGGAATCTCCGTCTTTCTCCGAGGTTTTGAGTTGCTGACCTTGCAGATCGAAGCCCAACATTTAACCAATTTGCCACCAGGGCTCCTTGTGTAAGTACAGATGGGGCTAAAACCTAAGGTACAATACTATACCTGCAAGTGTGGGACTGGGGAGTCCCCCTTCTCACCCGTGGCGCTGGGGTGGGCAATATGTAAGCTTATAATCAATGATGAGGCAACCTTGACTGCTGAAAGGGAGGAGGACTTGAAGCATATGCTGATGAAGATCAAGGATGACAGCCTTCGGTATGGGTTACCAATCCATGTAAAGGAGACCAAAACCCTCACCATGGGACCAACAGGGAACCTCATGATAAACGGAGAAAAGATTGAAAAGGAAAGATTGAAGTTGCCAAGGATTTTGTCTTGCTTGGATCCGGAGTCAATGCTCATGGGAGCAGCAGATCAAGCGACGGGTTGCACTGGACAAATCTGCTGTACGAGACCTGTATAAAGTGTTGAAAAGCAAGAACGTGACTTTGAAGATTAAGGGGAACCTGACCCAAGCAGGGTGTGTTTTCAATCGCCTCCGACGTATGTGAAAGTTAGACGCTGAAGAAGGAAGGCTGGAGAGCAATCGATGCGTTTGAATTGTGGCGCTGGTGAAGAACAGGGAAAGTGTCTTGGGCTGCCCAAAGGATGGACACCTCCGTCCTGGAAGAAGTGCATCCAGAGCGCTCCGCAGAGGCAAGCATGTCCAGACATGGTCATCTCAGGTACTTTGGACATGTTGTCAGAAGAGACCAGGGCCTGGGAAAGGACATCATGCTTGGTAAAGTAGAGGGGCATCGAAAAAGGAGACCCTCAACAAGATGGGCCGACAGTGGCTGCAGCAATGAGCTCACACATAACCATTGTGAGGTTGGTACAGGACCAGGCAGTGTTTCGTTCTGTTGTGCGTAGAGTTGCTTTGGGTTGGACCAGACTCAATGGCACCTAGCAACAACAACACAATCAATTGTGTTGGTCGAGTGGAAGCTCTAATGCCCATTAGAATATGTTTCTCCAAGCTACTTCTCCCTCCCAAAGACGGTATCTGGATGTAGGGAACACCTTAGTTAGCCTTGCGGTGTTGGAACAAGGCCCTACTATACACGCTGATCTTCTCTGTGGCTCCCCAGCTGGCTTCTGGGCACAGTTTCTTCCTGGTTATCTTGGCCCTAAAGAGACTATGTTGCAGAAGGGGGAGGACATGGCAGGCTAGCTGGTGGAGGGAATCCATGGGAAGGGATTGTTTGGCGGTTTGGAAGGTGTCAGAGTTTAGAATAATAAGTCAGGAGGGTGAAAGACAGGGTGAATTAAGAGGGATGGCCAGGGTCTGCTCTGAGTTGGGTGCTGGTGAGACCTGCCTGCCTGTACTTGCCCCAGGTTTTGACTAACATTCAAGATCTGGGAAGTTTTGAATCTCATAGCAAAGGGATTTGGGGGAGGAATCACTGCCAGTCTCTGCTGGGTGAAACCATCAGTGCAAGAGTTTCCCAGCAAAAAGGGGGTGCAACAGAACAGCAAGGGGAGCAGAGCAAGGACGTCCCAAGGGAATACCAAAATAGACTTTGGGGCCAGGGCGTGGCACCCCATCAGACTCCACCAGAACACACTCCTAAAGATCAGCAAACAGACCTGGAACTATTTACAGGCTTTTTCTTTTTTTTGTCATTAGTTTTGTTGTTGTTGTTATTGTTTTGTTTTCTTTTGTTGCTTTGTTTTGCTCTGTCTTGTTTTTGTGTGCATACGATTACCTCTGTAGTTCTATCTAGATACGATAGGCTGGATAAACAATCTGAGGAAAAAAACAACTGGACCGATGGTTCCTGGGGGACATGGGAGAGGGGGAGGTAAGGGACAGGAGGTGGTGTTAACAAATCCAGGGATGAGGGAACAACAAGTGATCCAAAATCAGTGGTGAGGAGGGTGTAGGAGGCCTGGTAGGGCTTGATCAAGGGCAATGTAACTGAGAGGAATGACTGAAACCCAAATGAAGGCTGAGCATGAGAGTGGGACCAGAGGAAAGTAAAAGGAAATAGAGGAAAGAACTAGGAGGCAAAGGGCATTT